GTCCAACGTGTGCCTTGACGATTTCAAGATGCTTGTCAGCAGTCTCGATGTTCTGCAACCGCGTGCCGGCAGCTTTCGCAATAGCCATGGCATGGCGGGCATCTTTTCTCGCCAGGTCCACGGCGAACAGGGGCTCATCTCTCTTATAGTAGTCGCCTTCCAGCATGCGGTTTGTGTACGCCGGGTACGGGCTGCCACCAAACATGGCCTCAACAAACTGCTTCACGTAACCCGTTCCCAGGCCGCTCTTCTCTGCAGCAACATATGTTTCGGCAAGCTGCTCAACCATGCCGAGGATCACGGTATTACCAAGCACCTTCAGAGTCGATGCCTTGCGGTATGGTTCGTCGGCCATGTTGATTTCCCGGGCCGCCATCGCATCGACGTACGGGCGGATCTTCTTGATCGACGATTCCGGGCCTGCAAGAACCAACGTCGCGTTCCCAGCGGCTACCATGGCGGGGGACCCAAAGATGGGCGCGCAGATGAACTCAGCGCCCTTTTCCAAAACCGACTTTGCGACAGCGTCGGTCGTCTCGGGAGCAATGGTTGAGCATTCGACAAATACTTTGCCTTTGATGTCTCCATTAGTAGCAACGGCGAAGACCTCTTCTACAGCCTTGTCATCGGCGATGCAGGAGAAGATGATGTCGGCTTTGTCAATGGCATCAGCGAGAGACTCTGCAACCTCGGACTTGCCCTTTGGCAGACTTTGGCAGAGATCCGTAGCACGTTTCACAGTCCGGTTGTGAATGAGCAGTGGCTTGTCGAGTTGAGCTTGCTCGACGAGATTTCGGCACATGCCCTGGGATGAAAGATTGATCAGTGAGTGTTCTTGTCTGACCAGGTAGGTAATCAAACATGTGGAGATGTGGACAGGCTCACTCACCCTCCCAATGTTGCCAAGGCCGATCCAGAGTAGAGTCCGGGACATTGTGAAAGCTGTCGTTGTCAATGGGGAATTACTTGAGAGGTTCAGGTATCAGCCGACGTCGAGTAGAAGAACAAACCTATGTATGAAGGCGGAAGTGCTTGATGTCAATGGATGAACAAGCATTGGTCGATGAAATAAGTGACTTGCCAGCGGCAGTTGGTTCGGGATGTCCGGTCTAATGAAACTGGAGGTGACAACGCGGGCTGATGCACCACCACTCAGTAGGTCGGTCAGGTAGAAGCGGGGTCGGCAAACGCAGAGACACTGGAGCACTGAGGCGCTTTCAAAGTACCTAGCTAGGGCCCCAACCTGGTACATCAACGGAGACCGAGATGATGGCTTTGTTTCCGATGGAACGGGGTTGCGGCAGCTCCCGTCCATGCAGCCAAATCGCTGCGTTGCGGCACAGTAATGTCGACAACCTGCCTCGTTGCCCGTTGCATCTGGTGTAAGTGATTTCATTGCGCGCAGCCCTTCAGGCGATGGACAGTTGAGAGATAGCGGGCCTTCACATGTTGAGTTATATCGCAGCAGCGCATCGCGGGCGAGTGGAAATGCCGCGACAACCTAAGACTATGCGCCAATTATCCGCTTCTCTCAAGTTGCCATCTACCTCTGTTGCTTGTCCGACTTCTCGCCTCGGTGCTACGGTGATACATTACGGTCGCCGATCGCCGGCTCCGTGATGGGGACCCTGCAGGCCTTATCCGCTTATCAGTCGGGCTTCTGGTAGGTTGATTGACTCACAATGTGGGAAGTCTTTGGTGCTAAGCAGGGTCAGGGCCCAACGTCTTCACCTTCGCTCTTGAGCTTCGTTACCGACTCCTCAAACTGTCTTTCTACACACGCCATCCTTCCGAGCACTGTCCAGAGTGTCATTGATCGTCGCCCGAACAGACCTCGCTCTGAATGGCCGTCTGAAGAGATGGCCGGGCTTTGACCCATTCCCCCCTCTCGACACGCGCTGCTTGTGGAGTCCAACAATAGTGCTCGCGAAACCGGTGTTCAGCTTCCCCTGCGTTTACTCTCAAATCCATAGCCATTGCAGAGCAGATGCTGGCAGCAAGCTGACGACTGGACCTCGTCATTTCATTCCGAAGCCCTGCGGCCCTTTCCCCAAGACGGTGTTCAGGATCTGGCTTAGAAGTTCTTCTCAGCAGCTTTCTACCCTAGCCACCGCAGCAAAGTCACTGGGCAATATGCGTACTCCTGCGCTAAAGCAGGCTGGGCATTTGGTCTCAAGAGTGAGTCTCTATCTGCCCTTGCACGCCGAGTTCCGCTCTTTATTGCGCACCTTCTAACTCGTACTATTAGGCGCCTTTCGCTCTCGATTCATGCTGCCCACCCAACCGCAGACTGTATCACCGTCCAAGGTCGGGTGGCACCCGGCAGGACGAAGCTTTGCAAGTTGCCTTGTCAGCTGTCAGACACTCTTCTAGCTCCAAGGCACGAGAAAAGAAGAGGGCTGAAGATCGGGTATGCCCTCTCAATGATCACTGCGCCATGCAACAACCTCTGACTATTGTTATAGGATTTCATAGTGTCTGTGCTGGAGGCTTCAGCGACTCGCCGTGATGCCAAGGGCTACCTGCAGAAATATGCTCCGCCAGGCGAAAATAACGCCAAGAAGCGCAAGACGGGTGCTTCTCAAGAAACACCAGATCAGACCTACTCTTCTATCAGAGTTGTCAACCAGTCACCGAAGTTCATCCAGGGCGAAGGCACGCCGAAGAAACAGGAATGTGTGCCAGAGGATGAGCCCATCAACCTCGCCATTGTCAAGATGACTCTTCCGCAAGATCTGGACGACCAAACGCTGAGCGCTATCGCCAAGACGTTTTCGCAACTCCGCAAACTTGGACTTGTGAGCGTTATCGTTCTTGAAGGAGGATCGCAGTCGTCTCGAAAGATTCTCAGAGAGCAGTCTTGGCGGGTCCAACAAGCTGTGGAGATCTTTGGTGAACCGGGCTCGATCCTGCTAGACCAGTGCGTTGGCGAGGCAGAGAAGCACACGGCTGACGCTAAGGGCTTCATGCCTTCTAGCGTCTACGTTCAGTACCCACACATGGTACTTCGAGCTCTTCAGGACAATGCAATTGTGGTCATACCCCCCGTGACAATGGCTACTGACATGAAGAGTATTGATGTGGTGGATGCTGACGAGACCATCGTCGCCCTCACAAAGTACTTCTGTGGACTTCAGTTGAATGCGAGTGAGACCCCCGTGGAGTTGCCGAGATCCACCCAGGGTGCGGGAGTCAAGGTGGCCTCTGTCGAAAAGGTCATTATCCTAGATCCTGCGGGGGGGACACCACTCGCGGATGAGCACGATTCATGCCACCGTTACATTAACCTGGAACAAGAATTCGAGGGCATCATGTATGCCCTCACACACCCGTCGGGAACAGAGGCGCAACGGGGAAAGGTGCCCGAGAGTGTGCGGCAACAGCATGCTCGTAACCTGCAACTCGCCAAGAGCGTGCTTGCCATGTTGCCGTCAACGTCGTCGGCTATCATCAGTACACCAGCAGCCGCAGCCAATAAGCCCATCCAAGAATTTACCAGAGTTACGACGCGTAACAGGCAGAACCCTCTGATACATAACCTCTTAACAGACAAGCCTGTTTTCTCCTCATCGCTACCAATCGAAAGAGTCCGCTCAGGAAAAAAAGGCGACGCCGTCTCGGGAGATGCGCATGTGGCCACCCTTATCAAACGGGGGATGCCGTTGACGGTGTATCCCGACCCTACAATCAGCGCCTGGCTGCCTCCTCGACCAGGAGCACCTCGTCTGAGGCTCACAGACACCTGCATAGATCTTCCGCGGCTGGTCTACCTTATCAACGACTCATTCAACAGAGAGTTAGATGTTCAACATTATCTTGACCGCGTCAACGAGAACTTGGCTGGTATCATCATCGCAGGGGAATATGAAGGCGGCGCGATCCTTACATGGGAAAAGCCCTTTGGTATCGACGAGGAAACAGCTTACAAAACAGGACGGCTTGTACCTTACCTCGACAAGTTTGCAGTTCTGAAAAGCCGCCAAGGAAGCGGCGGGGTTGCGGATGTGGTCTTCAACGCCATGGTCCGAGGTTGCTTTCCTGAAGGAGTATGTTGGCGTAGCCGACAGGATAATCCGGTGAACAAGTGGTATTTTGAGCGGTCTCTTGGAACATGGAAGCTCAGGGATACCAACTGGACCATGTTCTGGACAACACCGCATCTACCACTCAGCGATCCCAAGCTGCTAGACTACGAGAATGTCTGCCGTAACATTGAACCGTCCTGGGCAGATTCAAAACCACCAGACTAAGACTTGAGGGGGGCGTTTCCGGCGTTGAGCCATGCGCATAGATTTTGATGATAGACTTGTGGCGTTTTAAGGACAGGAAAAGCAGGAATCAATAAAAGGGTCAATGAATGGGCCAATTTGCTCATGATATTTCATTGAGAACCACATTGTTGGTCGGCTCGAGCGAACAGACCATTCCAGCGGGAGGTGGTTGTCAGGGTGCAACGTGATTGAACCTCAACCCGTTTGAGATATCGGGCGACTCTTCAGCATTCTTGGGTGCGTGGGAAAGGCACCACAACCCCAGGGGGAGAATGACGATCACCCACCTACACAGCTTCCTGAATTGAGAGTGGGCATTGAAGCGTAAAAGTACAGGTTGCTGTGCCCGTGCATGCACAATTCTGTATGACTGAGCAGCACGAATCAGAAACACTGAACTGTCCAGTTGCTCTGCGGATCCATCTGTCACGTGTCTAGCGCGACTCTTAGCGTTCCCTGGCGCTGGTCCAGGGGAAAATGGATGGCCTGTGACAGCATGCTACGTTAGGTAGAAGTGAACGTTGCTGTGCTGCTAATTTAAGGTACCTGCCTACCTTACGGGATACTTGTCTACCTCAAGCTGATAGGCACGAGGCCAAACTTCATCAACCACAACCGCTGTCGTCGCTGCCAACGTCACCTTACAAAGACAGTATTACGCACCGACTTTGAACTCCCATTCTAGATTCGCATTTCTCTCTCCAGACGCTGCCCAAAATTACCGCAACGATGGATTTCAAGAACCTCGGAAAGAACTTTACGTACGCCTTTGTCGCGCACCTGGCTCACGTATCGAGGGGGGCATCTCCAGGCTGACGAATAGTGCGCAAACCAGCTCCTTCGGGGCTTCAATCACCCCCTTTGCCTCCCGTACCTTCCAATACACCAAGGAGCAGCTCGGTCAAGCTGAGGATAAGGTCAGTAGCTGCTTGCCAACCCAGCTACCTCGTCATTACCCCGAGCGAAGGCTGATCGATATCTACCGTGACAGACCCAGCTTCCTCCTGACTACATCGATCTCGAGAAGAGAGTCGACGCCCTCAAGCAGGTCCACCAGAAGATGCTGGCTGTGACGTGAGTGCTATCCAACCATTGCATCCGCATCAGGGTCGGCGTCCTTGCCCACTAACACGGCGTCTGGACAGCTCACAATACTCGAACGAAGCCTACGACTACCCGCCCAACATCAAGGAGACATTCCAGGATCTCGGCCGCACCGTTAGCGAGAAGGTCACTCTTCTGTCTTCCGCAAGCTCTCCTGCCGAGGCTCAGGCCGCTCTGACAGCACCTCCCTCCGCGAAGCCCCAGCCCAAGACTTTCAACCATGCCATCGCCCGTGCCAGTCTGGCTAGCAGTCAGGTCCTCCACCAGCAGCACACCGGCGCCGGAGAGGACCCTCTGGCTACGGCTCTGGAGAAGTATGCACTGTCAATGGAGCGTGTTGGTGAGGCTCGCATGGCCCAGGACGCCCAGATTCAAAGCCGATTCCTTGCTGGCTGGAACACCACCCTGAACACCAACTTGATGTTCGCCACGCGTGCTCGCAAGAATGTCGAGAACTCGCGACTGACTCTCGACGCTGCCAAGGCACGCGCTCACGGCACCACCTGGAAGCTCGGTCCTGGATCCCCACGCGCGGAGGAGGGCCAGCCTCAGGAGCTGAGCCCCGAGGCCCAAGAGGAGATTGAGAAGGCCGAGGACGAGTTCGTCACACAGACTGAGGAGGCTGTCGGTGTCATGAAGAACGTTCGTTTAATGACTTGTTGCATCTCACTGGAGTATTGCTGATCATGCCATCAGGTCCTTGACACCCCGGAGCCCCTCCGCAACCTCGCCGATCTCATCGCTGCCCAGATTGAGTATCACAAGAAGGCCTACGAGATCCTGAGCGAGCTTGCCCCTATCGTGGACGGCCTGCAGGTCGAGCAGGAGGTTGGTCGCGCCGCAAACTTCGACGTATAACGAGCCCCCAACCGTACTGACGCCCGTCGCTTTAGGCCAGCTACCGCAAGAGCCGCGAGAGCGCCTCCTAGGAAGCCTATAGGTTTTAGTGTCTTTGAATGTTACCACACTCTTAGTGATGGAAATTTCTGCTCCCCAGGAGCCTGTCGGCGTTTCTGAAGCTTCTCGGCCCGGGCAACATGGAATCGCTCTGAGACGAGGGCGGAGGCCCGTTTCCTCTTTTTCCCCCTTGTTGTGGTCAATTTGACTCGAGCCTCCCTTGCTGTTACACACCACAACACCACATTATGTGTTGGAACGGCATATTGCCGCTCCAAAGTCCCATTACCGCCTGGGATAATCCATTTCAAGCCTGATGCCCGCAAGTTAGGAGATAGAGCATCCCATATGACCCATGCTAGATGGGTGTTTCCCATTGCGCTGATAGAAATTCACAACTGTTGTGCATGATATATCCCCACCTGATTAGGACATTGTTGATGGGGAATGTGGTAGAGTTATGAGCGAAGCGCAGTGTATTCTATATGAACCAACGCGACCTGACCTGATTGACACTAATTTCTAGCTGTTTTTCTTATGATACATGACTGTGGAGTCTCCCTCCACGCCGTCGAAGCTGTGAGTCGTCGGTAGTGGGGCATCACGTGACCTTAAACGCTGACTTATGTAAGGAAGTCTACTGGTCAGCCAAATCAGAGCGACATTGGCATAGCAGCTCCCGACCTCACGCTCCACTGTCCAATCCTCCCAACGCCGCAACACCAATTCGAGCCAATTGATACCGCAAACATGCGAAGGACATTTCGCCTGCTCGCGGGCGTCAAGCCTGTTCGTTATCTTGAGCCCGGCACCCCGACGGGTCTCACGGGCCTTTGGACACACAATAGCCCGCGGTCGACGTTGCTGTACGTCTACAGCAACACCCTCGACAAGCTCAAGGCGATTCCCGAGTCTTCCCTATACCGCCAATCCGTCGAAGCCCTGACGAAGCACCGTCTTGCCCTTGTCGAAGCCACCGTACCTCCCGGATACGAGGAGTGGGAGAAGAAGGCCGAACAGATCGTCAAGGAGAAGCCTGAACAATTCCGCCTCGTCAGCGGTCGCGTTGACGGCAGCGGCGCTCGCACGGTCAAGCTCGGCAACAGGATGTTCGTCGTGGGCAAGCAGCACGAGGCCAAGGATGTTCGCTTGGAAGAGTGGGACGGTGAGAAGGACGAGGGTGGCACTATGGAGGGCCCGCGCACCGAGGCAGAGCGTCAAGACCACAAGTTGCTTGCCGAGCGCAAGGATGTAAACGACGTAGCCAAGGTTCAGTGGGAGTCTGAGCCGCAGTTGACGGCCGACCAGTACGTCTTGGGCAAATTGGTTTTTTGAGCATATTGGCGGAACTGACATGCTTGCGACTAGGATTGCTGAGCTGGAGAATAAGATTGGAGCTGGCCTCATTGAGGAGGTAATCCAGGTTGCCGAGGGTGAGCTGAAGCTCGTGGACACGATGATCCAGGCCAAGGTGTACGTCACTGATCCGTCCCGACATATCCAGCGTCGAACGTACTGACCAAAACGCTACTACAGTTGGGAGGACCTAGAGGAGAAGCCTGTCGAGGGGCAATGGACTTACTTTGAGCGGAAATAAGCCGAGCCGCTAGCCGCAGAAAACGTCTACCACATATAGACTGTGTATAATAGGCAACAATGATGACCAAGATACATCGAAATGTTGCTTCTGTACAGGAAACCAACCATGTGAAGTCGGTCAATGAAGGCTGTTCTGGGCGGCAAAGCAAGACATCGAATGTGTTGCGCTGATGTTACGCGCACTGCCCTCCTGCCAAGACTAGCGATTGCCTTGGAGGTTGGAATAAGAAATGCGATTTACGCACTGGTTTGATGCTTGAAAGTCTGGGTCTATTCTGACAAGATGCAAAGACCCTTTTGGTCGTGCGTTGGTAGCTCTGATAAAAACGTCAATGTCTGATTGACCTAGCTGGCCTCTAACGTAATCAAGCCTTTTCGCCGTCTTGAGAAGTTTTTACAAGTCTTTGAAACTACCATGATTTTTTTATTTTATTTTTTTGCAGTCTCCCAATGACCAATGTCTCAGCTGTCGAGTGATTCCGTTGTGGCCTTGTCGTGTAGTTGTGCATAACAGGCTGGAGCCTGCTTGCTAAATCAGTAAAAAGAGTTGATTTGGTCCCACCCCAGATTCCCACTGGCGCAAAGCCTCCATCAGAACTCCTCAACTTCACCCAATGAACGCAAGGAAAATCGACTTTGCCGCTGAGTGTGCTCCAACATTCGCACTTTCTTGGGACCAAGCATTCGCAAAAGCCTACACAGGGGGTATATTCAAAGCAACAGCCGCTGGCCGATCGTGTTCGTGGCCATGAGCCAGCCGCAATCCAGCCGTAAGAGGTCCGCCTCTGCCATGTCCATCAGCGACAGCCATGACACCTACTACTCTCACCTACCTAGCGACTCAATCAACCCGCTCAGCCATACTCCATATATTCTCAGTCAACTCCGCCTCGCTGGTCTAGCGGAGACAGACCAGCCACCGTCACGAGACCAGCCGAAATTCCCGCATCGTGCCTGGCAGGATCCAGATGCACCATCCAAACAGGAAGCTGCTGCCGCTGCCGCGACGGAACAGCTAGAGAGTGACAGCGATCACGATGAGGAGGTAGAGCATGATGTTGGAAGTAGGCGCCGGCCACGGAAGAAAGACGAGAAAAGGGCCAAGTATTCATCGGAGAAATCGCACTTCAGGCCTCTTGTCAGGGCCATCTACTCGTTCCTGGATAAAGGGGACGTCGTCAATGCCAAGCGCGCTTTTGGCATCCTCGTGAGGTCCAGCGTGCACGGTAGACCGGTCGACATCAGACGCAACAATTACTGGGCTCTTGGCGCCGAGATACTCATGCGTGAAGGCGGCGTAGCCGCTACGGACGAGGGAAAGGAAGCGGAGGCTTATCCTGCCGAAAACATCCCACGGGTACGCGAGTACTTTCAGGACCTTATACAACAATATCCGTACAACTTCAAGTGGCGTAGAGCCGTTTCTGCCATCGATTTCTGGCCCGCGCTGCTGAGTTACGAGGTTTATCAGGTGCACACGCAGCATGGGGCCTCGTTACGCAGGCTGGAGAAGGAAGCGGAGGACTGGGAGGACGACTCGTGGCAGGAAAACTCTCTGGGTGACAGTCAAGATGAAATGATGATGGACGATCCCGAGTACAAGGACGGGATCTCGCGCTGGCAGGCAGATTCGCGGGGCCGGCGGCTACGTCAGGCAAGAGACCAGATTAGGCTGCGCACGCTGGACGGCCTCAGAGAGATCGCTAGTCGTGTGGACGACTTGCTCGAGGACCGGCCATATTCTACAAACCCTGAAATTCTGAGGTTGAGAGGGATGGTGTCTCTGCATATAGGAGACCTTCTCATCCCGGCGCGTGCTGAGGACGAGGGGCTCATGTCTGAAGCAAAAGCACGGCGCGAGGCAGAGAGGAATAACGCACGAAGCACCTTTCAAAAAATGGTCGAGCATGGCGGCCGGGCTGATGCCTTCGTCCAGCAAATGCTGGCGCCGGAAGAGGAAGACGACGGCCCTATACTGCCCATATTTTCGTCACTTCCCATCAGAGAGCATCGAGCAGATAGCTAAGCAATCGTTGATATTTCATCATTATTCCCTGTCCGAGGTATCGATATCAACGCCGATCCAAACGGTGCATTTAGTCTACTGTCTTATGTCTCCCGTTTAGGTGCCCATCTTTGCAACAGCAAGGCAAAATTGGAGCTGCCCACAACAACACACCATTCTCCCCCTGGACTCCATGCCACCTGTCTACCAACAAACGATGACGCGCCGAAGTTCTCTATCTTGTGAGGCTTGAGTGGCACTTGCGGGTTCTCGACGTTGTACTTGGTATCCCACATCAAGAGCGTCTCTTTGTTGTACACATTGGCGAACGTGGGGATTTGCTCAAGATCTGACGGGTGTGCCTTGCCAGCCGCTTTGCGCTCTCTTACCGTGGGTTCAGCTTTGGCTCCACCATGCGTACGATGGACGACGGCTGTCAACCAACTCGGCCTTTCGGGGGGAGCATCAGGGTTCTTTTCTACTTTCTTGATGTAGTCATGGAAACCTGTGATTTGCTCAAAGTCCCAAAAGAAAATCTTCCCGTTGGCATTGCAGAAAGCGAGGACCGGGTGCTGGTCTGGGACGAAGTGCAGCTTGAACCGCATGAAAAATTGGGGACCACAGCCGGGAGTCGCGAACTCCATCAGACGGGTGTACGGTGCTGGACATTCGGCCGAGACGCCTGGGTTGAACGCGGACCGCGTCAAATTGGCCGGGTTGATGGTGGTGGGAGCCATGTCTTGCGACGGCCGTGGATCTTCCGAGGAGAAACCTTCAATCTTCCATAGAACGATGACATCGTCGTGGCAAGCGCGGGAGAGGATGTAATCACCAAAGAAGGCGACGCTGCTTGGCGTGAGTATTCGTGTTTACGTACGGTCACCACAAAGCACATACCAATCCACAAGACTGCTGTGTACTTCGGAAGTGGAAAAGTGAGGATAGTGGACCTCGACAGGACGATCTGTAGGCTCGGTCGGGAGGTCCGGCACAGTCCACTGTCTTCATGTTAGACAGTGAGAGAAGTATTGAACTAAATCCATGCTCACCAGGTTGATGATCTGATCGTGACCGGCGGACAGGATGTAGCGGCCAGTATCATGCCAGGCCTTGAGAGGACGTTAACAACATCTTTCCTTGAGATGAAAATAGGAGACACTGACCAACGTGAGGAGGTTCCAGTAATGGCCTTCGCCGCCGAGAATGCATAGGCAAGGCTGTTTCTCATGTCTTGGGTCCAAGCTCCAGATGCGAACGGTTGTGTCGTCTGAGCAGGAAGCAACAATCAAGGGGTCTAACGGAGACGTGACGACGTCGCAGATGTCCTGATAGTTCGTATCAGCACGAGCACTTTTGGCAATATATGGCACTCAAGATCAGGGTGATTGACCCCTCCATGGCCAACTAAACACTGGATCATGCGTTAGCAACAGACGTAAAGTTGTAGGTATCCCTGCGGGACGTACGTTGACAAGCTTTTTCTCAAAGATATCATAGATTTTGATCTTTGCATCCTCACCACCGTAACACAGAAGTGGCTTTCCGGTCACAACATCCTTAGTCCAGGTGCAGCAGTAGTTTCTTGCCTCGGGCTGCAATCGAGTCAGTTATTTTGCTTTTGGGGGTGGATGGGTGGACCACTTGGGAGAACGCACATCATCATCGCGAATTATGCTGATGATTTCGCAAGGGTTTGAGTCATCTGCTGTTGCTGTGAGGCGGCAGATGACGATCTGAGGTGGCATCAAAAGTCAGAAGTGTACAGAAGCATTGGTTGAGGCAGAAGCTCAGGGGGGGCACTTACATGCTTCTTGCTGACAGCAGCAAAGACTGGCCTTGCATTCAGCGGCTGGTAGGGGCAGAATTTTACATCAAAAAATTCCGGGACAGGGTCATCCTCTGCAAGATAGCTGGTATCGTCGTCGAGGTGAACTGAGACTCTCAGCCTAGGGAAGTCGTAGGGAGTGGCAGTGACGGTGGGGGCCATTGCGGAATTGAACCGTAGATAGGTCGCGTTTTGGGGTGACCAGACAGTTGGAGAGATTGGATGAGGAAACTGGACAGCAGCGGCGGGCAGGCAGGGACCCGACAAGCGGCACCCAACCTCAAGCAGCTGTCAGCCTTGGAGGTAGTAGGTCTGTATATCCAGGGGGGATGAGACAAGAGACAGCGGTAGGCCGGAGCAGGAGCAGGAACAGGAGCAGGAGCGACCGAAGTCAGTTCAGTTGGTAGTAACAGGACTGGACGTGATGCAGACGGAGTGCAATTCGAGTGGATCTAGGTGCTGGGTCGAGCCGGAGGATACGGCCAGCGACACCGACCGAAGGCGGGTGGATGCGGGCACGTAAGGTCCAGTGTATCCGTACAACCTGGAGTACCTTACCTAAGGTAGGTAGCTAGCTACCTCGTGCGACCTCAGGGTGGACGGGGATGGGACTGAGACAGAACAAGAAGAAAACAGGCTGAAAGGGAGGTGAGACGGAGTAGACGCGTCGTAGGCAGTTGGCAGTTTGTAGACGGCAGCTGGCAGGCAGCAGGGCATCGTGAGCTAGGTACCTTAACAAGGTAAGGTACCTGAAGGCGTGTGTGGTTTTTTTGGTTTTTTTTTTGGGGGGGGGGGGGGGGAGGGAGTGGAGGCCGGCTGGCAGCACGCTCGCGGCTCCAGGTGGTGTCTTGAATCAGCGCCTGGTAGCGAGTGTACTGCGTACTGCAGGTGAGGTGGGCTGCAGTCAGAGGAGTCGGCTGCTTTCAATTCAAAATTAGACAAAGTCTGGACTCCAACCCCCAACGCCTAGTGACGGCGATCGACCTTTGAGGGTTCCGGATTGACAGCCTGCCTTGTGCTCCGAGTGACCGCTTTTCTAGTGTGCCCCCCCCCCCCCCCGGGCTGGCAAAGCGAGCGGAACAAGCACGCAACTTTGGACCTGGTAAAACGGTTGACCACGCCCTCGACCACCAGACAGTGAGGGTCCTTGGAGAAGTTGTCCCGTATGCCCTCTCAGTATCTATCTACTTTGCAGCGACACGGACCCAAAACGGGGCCTGTCGAAGCAAGGTACGCATGCGCAGTAGGTAAGCTAGGTAGCGTCGGGTGGTGGACCGGTGCAGTTCGTCGGCCATTTCTCTAATTATCCCAGGGCTCAAGGCTCAAGGCTCAAGGCTCAAGCCAGCAGCGGATGGATCTTCAGGGAAAGTGGGCCACGAGAAAACGTACATTTGAGGTTCCATTGGATGTACAGAACATTGTACATAACCTGTCAACCCACGCACGCACAAAGTACCCTCACTGTATGTACTCTGACTGACTGCCTGCCTGTGATAGAGCCCATTTCCCAGCAACAACTCATTCTACTTCAATCATGACTGTTGAATGTTTATGCATCAACAAGAAAAGAACAACCCCAAGATATGGCGGTCATCGGCAATCCGATGCCGCAAGCCACTTCGGACATGCCTGGTTCAGCAACAGCTTCTGCCATCTTCCTCCGGCCCCGGCCACCGTGCCCGCCCAACGACACGCCCGTGTAACACGAGGTTCTCGACCGCTCCTCTCTGTCTCTATCTCTCTATCTCTCTCTGTCCCTCCATCTGCCCTCGCCAACAACAATCAGGCTTCGCCTGGGACATTAATCGTTGCTACCACCAATGTACGGACACCACGCGCAGCTTCTACTACCGTCCCACCGCCACGGGCATTGGGGATACGTCAGCCGGCATGTGAGAAATGACTGGATCGCCAAACACACAGACGTAAATTACCCCCTAAACTCCCCTCACATCCAATCGACGGATCTCGATGCCAGACATCCTTCACTGGATATCAACATCGACCTCGCATCGCCCTCGCAACAATTCCAATATCACTCAGCCTGCTCATAGCACGGCTGTTTATCCTCTGGATGGGATCCAGCCAGCCAGCTTGCCAGCGTCCACGGCAAGCGTTGCGCCGGAGCTCCACTGCCTGCCAATAAACCTGTCCCGTCGTGGGTCGTCATTCGTGGAGCAGCACTGCAGCAGAGGCATGGTCATGGTTATGGCCATGGGCCGCCATGACATCTCCATCTTCGTCGCACGAACCCTTTGCAACCCAGCCCGGCGCCCGGCGACCTGTCTAGAAGCGGTTCACGTCACGAATGGACGCCAACAAGCCCCGATCAATCTCAATCTGGCGATCCACCATCGCGACCACGGTTTTGTGAAATCCCAATGGATCGAATGCTGGTGCATCAGTCTGGGAAATGCGACCCGAAAAGAGGATTGCTACGAGCTTAAAGAGAAGCGTCGTTGCTAATCCAGGCATGATATTTTATTGCAGCCCCGAAGATGCCAGATACTACCAAACACCACATGCCTGAGCGTCAAGCAGATTCTCCCCAACTGGCATGCGCAACCGCCAATCCATGGAGACGCATTGAAATGGTTGTAACTTGCTAAAATCACTCGTCTAATTCTAATTGCAACCCCGCGGCCTGTTGAGAAGAGCATCTTGCATCCGGATCACCGGTCTGCTCTAGCCCATTGGTCGTAGTTGTGCGCCGTCTGACAGCGCCAGTCTGCAGCACTACGCCCTACCAACTAACGACTACTTCTCAACAGCGGGGAGGCACACTCTCAACGCGAAGGCAGGTATCACGGGTTGTAGTGTAATACGGATAAGCTGGCTCGAGTCGCTCGCTCGGGGACCCTGGCAGCAGATCCCAACTGGTGAACCAGGTTCTCATGTCTTCACAGCTGTCAACTGAAGACAGAACATGGAACTATGCCTAGCAGAGCATAGCGCAGCTTCTGCCCGAACGCTCAACCCACACGGACGCCAGTTTAGCCTTTTGCACTCCCGTTGACACGGATGACGGGCGGCCTGGCAAGGTGACGGCCCTGAAGGGCAAGCATCAGTGACGAGACCTTGGGGAAAGAAACGGGCTCTGGTGCCCTGCAATCTCTATCGGCTGTCAGTACAAATCAGGGCAAAGGGCCGTCTTCTCGCAAGCTCTTCCAGAAGAAGACAAGAGCTGTCCGCCATCCCCTGCGAGATCCCCAGACACCATGTCTGCTGTCGGTATCACGGACATGGGTATGAGGAAAATAGTGGGGAGCTCAAGGCACAGGGGCCGTCAGATGCTCATCGTTGTTGATGTTGACAATGGGGTTTTCAAGCTCGAGTAACAGATGACAGAGGACATTCTCTGACCTCTGCTCTGTAAGGCGTGTATGTACAAAGTAAAGTTCTGCAGCTCGTCAATTCCGCACTCGGCTAACGCAGGAGGGAAGAGAACGAGGCACTGAAGCTGCAAGGGGCGCAAAAGGACGGCGTCCACCGAGGTAAACCGGCACTGGGTCGCCTTGAACGCAGAACGCATTCCTAGTATTGCATGTCTCAACGGTTAGCCGGCGATATAATCGTGCCGCCTCGTTGCCTTCCTCCTAGCTCCCGTTTCTTCAACAATGGAAATCCAGAATCCGAGACCCTTCAAACATTCGTCGTCTGCTACTGCGCTTGACCCATTGGTTTCGGAAAGCGACGCCAATCCTTCCTCCCTCCGTCCACCCATGCACACGCAGGTACCTGCGGCTGTCTCCAGCCATCCATGCCGCAAGCCGTAAAGACATGGTCCGGTTGGATGCCCCACCGGCAGCTGTTGACAGACAGACAGCCGCCGCACGTTCCGATGTGTCGATGCGCGCGAGCTGCCCGGGTGTGGCATCCGGGCATGCAACAAGGGCTACTGATGGGCATTCTGTTGCTCTCTTTTCCACCACATGTATAATGGCAAAGCAAGCCATGTCTCATTAGCTTGCCAACTCGGATCACCGGTCGACTTCGGTTGGGAAGCGACATGGCACTATTCGTACTCTCCGAAAGACTGACATCAGGGCGAGCTATCGTGGGTGATATACCATGACAAGTCATGAACGTAGAGATTGGGACTTGTTGTGATTGACATGGAATGTCGGAAATCCCGGCGAACCAAGCACAGCGACCTATCTCACTTGCGGATGCGTGACAGGCTGACTCTCGATAAAATACACGACAGACACAGGCAGGCTTTCTCGAGCGGGTTGACGAGGCAGAAAGCGAGGGTAAGGATGGCAGTCCAAAGCCCCCCACTGGCCCCCAGGCCAGGTCGCGAGGCGGAGTGTGTAACATTAATCAACCCTCGTGGGCTCAGCTATTTGAGGTTGCCAGGCTCGTCCTAGTGGGGGGACCTCATGTCCGGGGATACGTCCAATTGTCTTTCTAGAATGGAGACTGCGCATACGGTATCGAATGCCAAAGCCACCTACAATCTTCATTTCCGTCAACCTGCAAGTTGATTGACTTGGTATGGATCTTTGCGTGTCAAGATGGCGATTTGTTGTGGCTGTTGCGCGGCTTTCCAGGCCGATATGGGGCAAAGGGAAAAGAGGCAGCGCACATGACAAGCAGGGAATAGGCATATGCCCGTCTATATGAATTGTCTTGCCCCGCTGTCAACGTCAATTCAACGATTGTGTACTTTGTATCAGTAGTGGTGTGTCGCGGTGGACAACGGTGCGGACGATGCAGGGCCACCACAATGTGCTTGCACAACAGCTACATGCCTTACGCTACCACCGTAGGTAGGACATAAGGTATCTACCTGTAATTAACGAGACATAGAGCCCCCTTTCCCCTGCCGTTGGACAGTCGCGAGTACCGCTGAATAGGACGACAACCAGGGAAACATGTATTCATACACATTGCACAGTATTCACGAGGACTGTGGACAGACAGGTTGCTGGAGATGCAGCTCATCCGAAGACCTTGCTCGAACGTAAAGTAGCAAGGAGGAGCAGGAGCAGGAGCAGGGGCAGGACCAGGGGCAGGGGCAGGATGGGATACGGACGTACGCCGGGGGCCGAGTCCCTACCTAGCTGCGGGTTTAGAAACGGGCAAAACTAGGTAGCTACGTCGGGTCTGGATTTATTTCAAAAGTGTTGCGGTTCTTTTGTGTGTGTGTGTGTGTGTGTGTGTGTGTGTGTGTGTGTGTGTGTGTGTGTGTGTGTGTGTTGTTTTGTATTCGGAGACCTGCCAAACGCATATGGATGAATCGCAGGAGTCGCGGCTTGTCATAGTCGGATACCCTTGCTTAGCCAATGTCCTCTACGACCTAGGGTAAGGTACATGGACACATCCATATTCTGGCCCGCTGCAAACTTCAGATGCCGGGGTCTGGGTCGGGGCCCCCCCTGTCAGCGGGCTCTCCTCCCTGGACCCTGCCCTGTCTACCTAAGGTGCCTACCTTACGTTACCTACCTACCTATCCGCTTCCGCGTTTTTTCGAACGGGAGCCGCTCGCTGCACCGCTGCGCCGATGAGATGCGCTGCGCTGCCGTGCCGTCACAGACGCAGTGGACGCCTCTCCCCGCCGCCTTCACCACAAGCCGGACGAGCTGTCATAAAAGATGCTCGCCGCTCCCACTGGCCGCACCGCACCGCACTACTCGAGCCTCTCTCTCTCTCTCTCTCTCTCTCTCTCTCTCTCTCTCTCCCCCTCCTCGCTCTCCCTTCATTGTCCTAGCTGCAATAAGGATACGGCACTATTAGGTGCCCTCCCCTCCTCTACTGCTGCTACGTCTTGAGTCCCGTCCACTCATGCTCAGCAATTGCAACAGCAACAAGAACAACAAGAACAACAAGCTATCTTCTCGCCCCCAAACCAACCCCAACTCTTGCATATTGAAAAAACTCTACACATATATACCTACTTTTCGCTACTGCTACAAATCAAACCTCAGCCGAAGCCGCTAGCTCGCATCCAGCGTTCGTTCAACGTCGGTTGGATTACCTAGGTACCTTACTTCAACACCGTTCCCTCGACCTCCCCTCTTACGTCAGGGCCTCTGCTTGAACCTGCCGCCGCCGCCGCTGCAACGCTCATACCCCACCACTAGAGAAACAACGGTCTCACTTCCATCTCAACTGTCTTCTGCGTACCGTAACTACCTTACCTTTCTTTACTACTGGCGACCGCAACCTCCTCCTCGCCCGCATACGCACACGCACACGCACAACGCACAAGCACGAGCATAAGCATCACCTCAGCCAATCCTACCATCATCAGCCTGAGCTCCGACGGCATCGCGACCAGCCAGCCCAGCACTTCTGGCAAACGTCAGTTGCAGGCAGTGTGTGTGCAACAAATCCTGTCACTTCCAATTCATACTGTTTGAGTTCGCCCGTGCGACACATCTCTACAGGCCATCTTGCGGGTACCAGCATCCTGGCCGTTCCGCTGTCCTGTCCTCGGCCGTCCTGGTCCAGGCAAGCCCAACATACTTTTGTCGGTACAGCTCGTGATACTGGCAACCTTTCGTCCCAAGGTGACAGCGCGATCTGTGTCCTACGCTAGT